GGGCTGGGCGGGATTGGGGAGCTGGAGGTGGTGGAGGTCGGGGTGCTGCTGCTCTGGTTGAAAATCTCATCTTCCATCTGGGAATGGCTGGGGGGGGACGTGGCCACCAGAGCCTGCGCTGGGGGGGCACAGGGGGGGCAGCTGGGTCAGCAGCCCCCTCCCCAAAATCCCACCCAAAACACCCCCACAAAATCCCCACGCTGCTCCCAAAATCCCAGGGATTCACCCAAAAAAAAAAAAACCCAGCTGTGAGCCCAGAAATCCTGAAAAAAATCTGAAAAAATCTGAAAAAAACCTGAAAAAAATCTGACAAAATCTGAAAAAAATCCTAAAAAAAATAAAAAAAAAATCCCCAAAAAATTCCTAAAATATCCTTAAAAAATCCTAAAAAAATCCCAAAGAAATCCTAAAAAAACCCCAAAGAAATCCTAAAAAAACTCCAAAGAAATCCTAAAAAAATCCTAAAATATCCTAAAATAAATCCTAAAACATCCTAAAAAAATCCTAAAGTATCCTAAAAAACTTCCTAAAAAAATCCCAAAAAAATCCTAAAAAAATCCTAAAATATCCTAAAAATAACCTAAAAAAATTTCCATTTTTTTCCTCTATTTTCCCCCCATTCCTCATTTTCTCCCCTTTTTTTCCCCAATTCCCCATTTTTCCCCCATTATTTTTTTCCCCAATTCCCCAATTATTCCCATTATTTTTTTCCCCAATTCCCCTTTTTTTCCCCCATTATTCCCATTGTTTTTTCCCCAATTTCCCATTTTTCCCCCATTATTTTTTCCCCCAATTCCCCGTTTTTCCCCCCATTTTTTCCCCATTATTCCCATTGGTTTTTTTTTCCCCAATCCCCCTTTTTTCCCCCATTTTTCCCCCATTATTTTTTTCCCCAATTCCCCATTTTTCCCCATTATTTTTTCCCCCAATTCCCCGTTTTTCCCCCCATTTTTTCCCCATTTTTTCCCCCATTATTTTTCCCCAATTTCCCCCATTATTCCCATTATTCTTTTTTCCCCAATTCCCCATTTTTCCCCCATTATTTTTCCCCAATCCCCCTTTTTTCCCCCATTATTTTTTCCCAATTCCCCATTTTTTCCCCCATTATTTTTTCCCAATTCCCCATTTTTCCCCCCTGTATTTTTTCCCCAATTCCCCATTTTTTCCCCCATTATTTTTCCCCAACTTCCCCCATTATTCCCATTATTTTTTTTTCCCCAATCCCCCTTTTTTCCCCATTATTTTTTCCCCATTATTTTCCCCCAACTTCCCCCATTATTCCCATTATTTTTTTCCCCAATTCCCCATTTTTCCCCCCATTTTTTCCCCATTTTTTTCCCCAATCCCCCTTTTCTCCCCCATTTTTCCCCCATTATTTTTTCCCCAATTCCCCATTTTTTCCCCCATTATTTTTCCCCAACTTCCCCCATTATTCCCATTATTTTTTTTTCCCCAATCCCCCTTTTTTCCCCATTATTTTTTCCCCATTATTTTCCCCCAACTTCCCCCATTATTCCCATTATTTTTTTCCCCAATTCCCCATTTTTCCCCCCATTTTTTCCCCATTTTTTTCCCCAATCCCCCTTTTCTCCCCCATTTTTCCCCCATTATTTTTTCCCCAATTCCCCGTTTTTTTCCCCCATTATTTTCCCCCAACTTCCCCCATTATTCCCATTATTTTTTTTCCCCAATCCCCCTTTTCTCCCCCCGTTTCCCGTCCCTACGGATGTCGTCGAGGTCGAGGTCGTCGTAGAGGAACTCGTTCTCCTCGAAGTCGGGCTCCTGGCAGGAATCCACGTAATATTCCACGTCGTCCTTCAGCTTCCGCACCGGATCCACCGGGATCGAGTCGTTGTCCAGCATCCGCAGCAGCGTCTCCAGCATCCGCACGTGGAAACGGTGCCGCTCCACCTGCCGCTTCAGCGCCTCGATGCGGTCCTGCTTCTGGGGGAAAAACAGCCGGAAATGGGAAAAAACGGTGAAAAAATGGGAAAAAACGGGGAAAAACGGGGAAAAAATGGGAAAAAACGGGAAAAAACGGGGAAAAAATGGGATAAAATGGGTTAAAACGGGGTGAAAATGGGGTCTGGGGTCACTGGGATTGGGGTTCAGCTCCACCTGCCGCTTCAGCGCCTCGATGCGGTCCTGCTTCTGGGGGAAAAACAGCCGGAAATGGGAAAAAACGGTGAAAAAATGGGAAAAAACGGGAAAAAACGGGGAAAAAATTGGATAAAACGGGGTTAAAATGGGTTAAAACGGGGTGAAAATGGGGGCTGGGGTCACTGGGATTGGGGTTCAGCTCCCAGAGCCGCTTCAGTGCCTCGATGCGGTCCTGCTTCTGGGGGAAAAACAGCCGGAAATGGGAAAAACGGTGAAAAAATGGGAAAAAACGGGAAAAAAGGGGATAAAATGGGTTAAAAGGGGGTGAAAATGGGGTCTGGGGTCACTGGGATTGGGGTTCAGCTCCACCTGCCGCTTCAGCGCCTCGATGCGGTCCTGCTTCTGGGGGAAAAACAGCCGGAAATGGGAAAAAACGGTGAAAAAATGGGAAAAAACGGGAAAAAACGGGGAAAAACGGGGTTAAAATGGGATAAAATGGGAAAAAATGGGATAAAATGGGATAAAATGGGATAAAATTGGATAAAATGGGATAAAATGGGATAAAATGGGGTAAAAATGGGATAAAAATGGGATAAAATGGGATAAAATGGGATAAAATGGGATAAAAATGGGATAAAAATGGGATAAAATGGGATAAAATGGGATAAAATGGGGTAAAAATGGGATAAAATGGGATAAAAATGGGATAAAATGGGATAAAAATGGGATAAAATGGGATAAAAATGGGATAAAATGGGATAAAAATGGGATAAAATGGGATAAAAATGGGATAAAAATGGGATAAAAATGGGATAAAGTGGGATAAAATGGGATAAAGTGGGATAAAATGGGGTTAAAATGGGATAAAAATGGGATAAAATGGGATAAAAATGGGATAAAATGGGATAAAAATGGGATAAAATGGGATAAAAATGGGATAAAATGGGATAAAAATGGGATAAAATGGGGTAAAAATGGGATAAAATGGGATAAAAATGGGATAAAATGGGGTAAAAATGGGATAAAAATGGGATAAAATGGGATAAAAATGGGATAAAATGGGGTAAAAATGGGATAAAATGGGATAAAAATGGGATAAAATGGGGTAAAAATGGGATAAAAATGGGATAAAATGGGATAAAAATGGGATAAAATGGGGTAAAAATGGGATAAAATGGGATAAAAATGGGATAAAATGGGGTAAAAATGGGATAAAAATGGGATAAAATGGGATAAAATGGGATAAAATGGGGTAAAAATGGGATAAAATGGGATAAAAATGGGATAAAATGGGGTAAAAATGGGATAAAAATGGGATAAAATGGGATAAAAATGGGATAAAAATGGGATAAAATGGGATAAAATGGGATAAAAATGGGATAAAATGGGGTAAAAATGGGATAAAAATGGGATCCTGAAAAATCAGGAAGGAGCTCTGGGAATGGGGTCGGGTTTGAGGGGATTTGGGGATAATTTGTGGAGGTTTGGGATCATTTTTGAGGTTTTTGGGGTGATTTTGGGTGATTTTGGGTGTTTTTGGGGTGATTTTGTATGATTTTGAGGTTTTTGGGGTGATTTTGTGTGATTTTGAGGTTTTTGGGGTGATTTTGGGGTTTTTGGGGTGATTTTGGGTGATTTTGTGTGATTTTGAGGTTTTTGGGGTGATTTTGGGTGATTTGGGGTGATTTTGGGGTGATTTTGGGTGGTTTTGGGTCACTCACATCCTTGTCCCCCTTTTTCTTGCGGGTCTGCACCGACAGCGACTCCACCTCGCTCTCGAACTGATCCACCTGCATGTTGAGCGTGTCGATCGTGTTCTGGGGCAAAAACAGCCAGAAACGGGCAAAAAGCAGCGGTCAGCAACAGCAACAACGGCCCAGGGAGAAAACACAACTCTTGCAGCAAAAAATATCAAGTTTTGGGGAAAAAAACCCAATTTTTGGGGAAGAAAAGTCAATTTTTTGGCAAATAAAGTGAATTTTTTGGCAAATAAAAGAGATTTCTTTAGCAAGAAAATGAATTTTTGGGGAAAAAAGTAAATTTTGGAGGGAAAAAAGTGAATTTTTGGGGAAAAAGGTGAATTTTAGGGGAAAAATGTGAATTTTTTGGCAAAAAAAGTGAATTTTGGAGGGAAAAAAGTGAATTTTGGGGAAAAAAAGTGAATTTTTGGGGAAAAATGTGAATTTTTTCGGGAAAAATGTGAATTTTTTGGCAAAAAAAGTGAATTTTGGGGGGAAAAGTGAATTTTGGGGAAAAAAGTGAATTTTTTCGGGAAAAATGTGAATTTTTTGGCAAAAAAAGTGAATTTTGGGGGGAAAAGTGAATTTTGGGGAAAAAAGTGAATTTTGGAGGGAAAAAAGTGAATTTTTGGGGAAAAATGTGAATTTTTTGGCAAATAAAGAGGATCTTTTCAACCAAATGGAAGAATTTTTTAGCAAAAAAAGTGAATTTTTGGGGAAAAAAGTGGATTTTTTTGGTAAATAAAGTGAATTTTTTTGACAAGTGATTTTTAGGCTAAAAACCCCCATTTTTGTAAAGGAAAAAATGCATTTTTATCTCAAAATAAAATTGTTTTTAATGAAGAAAAACCCCATTTTTTAAAGAAAAAATTCATTTTTAGTAAGAAAAAATAATTTTTACACCAAAAAACCCCATTTTAACACAAACAACCCCAATTTTTTTCAAGAAAAAAATCCATTTTAATGCCAAAAAATCCATTTTTAGTAAGAAAAACCCCATTTTTACACCAAAAACCCCCATTTTAACGAAGAAAAATACCATTTTTTTCAGGAAAAAACTCATTTTAATGCCAAAAAAACCCATTTTAACACAAAACAATCCCATTCTTTAAAGAAAAAATCCATTTTTATGACAAAAAATTTGGTTTTAATGCCAAAAAATCCCATTTTTTTCAGGAAAAAATCCCTTTTAGTGCCAAAAAACCACATTTTAACACTAAAAAAATCCCATTTTTTTCAGGAAAAAAGCCATTTTAATGCCAAAAAAAGCCGTTTTAAGGCAGAAAAGCCCCGTTTTTTGGGGAGAAAAAAGGGATTTTTGGGTAAATCCTCACCGTGAGCCACTGCCCGACCTCCTCCTTCTCCTTCTGCGCGGGGTCGACCTTCTGGGCCAGCCCCAGCCCCTCCTTGCTGTAGGCTTTGGTCTTTGTCTCCCTCTCCACCACCTTGAACCTCTCCATTTGCTGCAAAAAAACCCAAAAACGGTAAAAAATCAAAATTCCCCAAAATTCCCCAGCGGCCAAAACCCGGGAGAGGCGAAAAAACCCCAAAAAATCCTCCTTGGGCACCAAAAAAATCCAATTTTCTGTCTAAAAATCACATTTTTCCTCAAAAAAAAACAAATTTTCCTCCTAAAAATAGAAATTTTCTCAGAGAAAATCCCAATTTCCCCCCAAAAAATCAATTTTCTGTCTAAAAATCCCATTTTTCTCTGAGAAAATCCTCATTTACCCCCAAAATAACCCAATTCTTCCATCCAAAAATCCCATTTTTCCCAGAGAAAATCCCAATTTCCCCCCAAAATATCCAATTTTCTTTCTAAGAATCCCATTTTTCTCAAAATAACCCAAATTTTCCTTCTAAATACCCCATTTTTCCCAAAATCCTGTTTTTTTTGCCGAAAATTCCCACTTTTATTCCCGAAATCCGGGTTTTTTGCCTCCAATCCCAGTTTTTCCCCCCCCACTCCAATTCTTTTGCCCAAAAATTTGTTTTTTTGCTTGAAATCCTGCTTTTTTCCCCCAAAATCCCATTTTCTTGCCCCAAATCCCCACTTTTTTTTCCCCAAATTCCACTTTTTTTGCCCCAATTCCCATTTTTTTCCCAAAATCCGTGGTTTTTTGCCCCCAATCCCCATTTTTTTTCCTGAGCTCCAGGGTTTTTTGCCCCCAATCCAGGTTTTTTTTCCCAAAATCCCATTTTTTTGCCCCAATTCCCCTTTTTTTTCCTAAAATCCCATTTTTCTGCCCCAAAATCACACTTTTTTGCCTGAAATTCGTGGGTTTTGCCCCAAAACCATTTCGTTTTTCCCCTGAAATTACATTTTTTTGCCCAAAATTCCCCATTTTTTGCCTCAAATCTGGGGATTTTTTGCCCCAATCCGGGTTTTTTCCCCGAAATTCCTGTTTTTTTCCCAAAATCCGTGGTTTTCGCCCCGAATGCCGGCGGTACCGTCTCGATCAGCTTGCGGTTCTCGATCAGCTGCCGCTTGTCCTTGATCTCGTTGGAGGCCACCCATGTCTTGATCTGGTCCCGCAGCCGCTGCCAAAAACACCCCAAAATAGCCCAAAACACCCCAAAATAGCCCAAAACACCCCAAAAACACCCCAAAATAGCAAAAAATTGCCCAAAACCACCCCAAAATAGCCCAAAACACCCCAAAATAGCCCAAAACCACCCCAAAATAGCCCAAAACACCCCAAAATAGCCCAAAAAAGCACAAAAACAACCCAAAATACCCCAAAACCAGCCCAAAACACACCAAAAACCCAAAACACCCCAAAAACACTCCAAAAGTGCCCCAAAACGCCCCAAAACAGCCCAAAAACACAAAACACACCAAAAATACCCCAAAATAGCCCAAAAGCACCCCAAAAGCACCACAAAATACCCCAAAAACACCCCAAAATAGCAAAAAATTGCCCCAAAACACATCAAAATAGCCCCAAACCACCCCAAAATAGCACAAAACACACCAAAACCACCCCAAAATAGCCCAAAATTGCCCCAAATCAACTCAAAATAGACAAAAAACACACCAAAAATCCCACAAACACCCCCAAAACACCCCAAAATGAACCAAAACAGCCCAAACACCACAAAATAGCCCAAAACAATACCAAAACACCCCAAAAACACCCTAAAAACACCAGAAACACCCCAAAATACTCTAAAAACACCCCCAAAAAACACAGAAACACCCCAAAATAGCCCAAAACCACCCCAAAACCGACAAAAATAGTCCCAAAACTCCCCAAACTCCCCGAAACGGATCAAAACCAGATCAAAAACACCCCAAAATACCCAAATCCAGCACAAAACCACCTCAAAATATCCCAAAATATCCTCTGAAACACCCCAAACACCCCAAAATATCCCAAAAAACCCCAAAACGTCCCAATAAAAACCCCAAACTCCTCAAAATATCCCAAAACAGCCCAAAAACAACCCAAAAAAAATCAAAATCACCCCAAAAAAATCCCACCCCCCCAAAAAAACCCTAAACATCTCGAAACGCCCCGAAAAACCCCAAAACGCCCTAAAAAAATCCCCCAAAAAATCAAAAAAAAATCCCCCAAAAAATCCCCAAAAAATCCCAAAAATCCCCCCAAAAAATTCCCCAAAATCCCCCCAAAAATCCCCAGAAAACCCCAAAAAAATCCCCCAAGAAATCCCAAAAAAAACCCCCAAAACCCCCCCAAAACGCCCCCAAAACCCCCCAGGCTGAGTTTTGGGAGCTCCCAGCAGAACCAGGGGATTCTGGGGAGCCCCAAATTCGGGATTTTTCACCCCAAAATCCCAACCTGCAGTTTCTTGATCTCCTTTTTCAGGTCGGCCTCGTATTTCTCCTTCTGGTTGGCGTTGGCGGCGTTGTGGAGCTGGAAACGGGGAGGGGGCTCGGAAATGGAATTTGGGGGGGTTGGGGGGGGGTTTTGGGAATTTTGGGGGGGTTTGGGGGGGATTTGGGGGG